ATATATATATATATATATATATATATATATATATATATATATGAAAGAAAAATACAGAAAAACAAAATTCTGAATGTGCATTATTAATGTTAAAATAAAGTCGACGTTTCGGTCTATTTAAGACCATCTTCATGGACATTTTCATTTAAACATATTATCTGTTTGAATTAGTTGGGTTCTTATGTCCATCGTCTTTTTGTGTTAAATTGTTATAAGTTATAATGTTAATTATGTTTAAATGAAAATGTCCATGAAGATGGTCTTAAATAGACCGAAACGTCCGACGTCGACTTTATTTTAACATTAATAATGCATATTCAGAATTTTGTTTTTTCTGTATTTTTCTTTCATACTGTCGGATTTATATCCATATATTTTATATATATATATATATATATATATATATATATATATATATATATATATATATATATATAAGGTTCAAATACTATTATTCCTTGATTATAATTTATTACATTGGAATCGTAATAACGATCCAATTCATCAGACCTACAAATTCATTGAGCTCTACCTGGATTCTATCCTCTTGGAAATGTATAATATATATATATATTATGAATTTTTACCTGTTCGACCCCTTATTTTTTTTTTATTTGTTTTGTTTTACGGTATATCAACCTCAATGGATTATTTAATGCCGACAAGATTTTTATTGATCGTAATAATTTTTTACAAAAATGTATTGCTGGTATAAAAATCTATATTTACGCTTTCATAGAGTTATAATCACAATTTGGAGGGGGGTCAACAATTTGCCCATAGCTGGGACTCTAACAGGTGCTACCACTCCGGTTCAGGGTAGACCTGGCAACACCAGCAATTAAGTGGTTCCACGCTCCTCAAAACCTCCTGATCAGGGACCCTGCTGTCGGATGTAGCATGTCGTTTTACTCAGGACACTGATGTAGTTTATCGTCATACCCAGGACGGCCTATAGTTTTTGCTCATAAAAACTCGCACTGTACTCGGGTATAGACGGTACACTTTATCCTGGGGTCATCAATTGGTTAGTTTTTCAGATGTTTAGAGGTTATTCTTGTACAGCCCAACTGTTGAGGAATAAAAATGAAATGTGACACAGGGTCAATTTTCGAAGGTTTGTTATAAAGTATCCGCTAATCTGACAGAAAAAGGAAAGATCGGAACTGTGTGCGCGGCAACAATTATGGATATGAAATAGACAGTACTATACAGCTACATGTAACTAACTTTTATAGATATAAAATGCACCTATTATTTACACACAAATATTTCGGAAAGATGATCCAACTGATGATTTATCCATATATATATATAATCCATTTCTTTAACAAATGTGTTTGCATTGACAAGTCCAAGGGAATATCTCCCGAGGGAACGAAATGGCTCTCTGAATGGTGTAATTTGGGTTTAATGTTTTTTTTTGTTTTTTTTATTGTAATTCACTATGCTCTATAATAAATATATTGAGCTCTCTTTTCTGGGTCAGTTTTAATATTTTATATTAATAGGATCTATTTAGATTCCTTAACCCGGCATTCTTGTAATAAATCTTTTTCGTAGAATACAAATAATTTTTTTTTAAAAAGTCAGGGATAGATTTTACACTGTATTGTGTATGGTTCTCCCCCCCACTTCTAAAATGTTTTAAAGAACCAATATTTTTTAGATTCTCACACGTGTTTCGGCTTATGGAAAGTCGAATGAATTTCTACGATAAATTTAAAAGTTTAAGTTTTTACGAGCGGATCACTCTATCTAAATAGTTCCCATTTCAAATTATTCATAAGACAATGTAAACAAAAGAGGCATCTATTAGATTTACCCTGTTCTTAACCCTTCGAGCCTTGACCACCGATTTCGCGGTGGTAGAGAAAAATGATGGAATGTCCAGCCACCGGTTGAACGTTGGGTAAACACTTTTTATATCTAGCGTGAAACATTACATAGCAATTATTTGCGAATTTTGACTCCGGAGCTCAGACAGAAGGGTTAAAATTGTTCAGGAACGCAGGACTCAAATGGTTAAGGGCATGTAACAGCGTTACACAGAAAAATGTTTCAGGTATTTTTTTTTTTTCTAAGATTACTTAAATGAGGTATATTTTCTTGCCAATTTTCTGTTATGACGCCAAAGTAATGCGCCGGTAAATCGTTAACCTGATTTCAAATAGTTTCCATCCTTCTCAATCGAATTAAGAGGGTCGGTCAAAAAATACCTGATCGTTAATTAAAAACTGATGTAACAGAAGCAAACAAGCATAGCAAATTAAACACAAAAGTCTTAGGATTCCAGATCTAGTCCTCAAAATAGTCAAATTTGGTCCGATGACCGGTCAAAAAATAATGCCCGTTCTTAATTAAAAACAAATGTAATAGTAGTACACAAATCTTTTCGAGTTTCTAAATATATTTTACAACTGTTTCTTATACACCTTGATCAGTACTCTCTCTTGTAGAGGACCGGGGGGGTGAAGATGGTAAGAAAACACGTGCGTTTATATTTCCTGCTAGAAGAAAGGTTCAGTGGTGAATGTTTGTAATGTTCATAGCGTTTTCCCAGGAATGGGATACGCTGATCTTCTAAGAGCTTGCATCTTGTCGCTGAAATGAAGAAGTGAGAGATTTACCTCACCTCCACGCGAGGTGGGATGCGGCCCGAAGCCTGAGGGGGAAAAAGAAAGAGGCAAGGAGTTTCCCAGTATTTATAGTATGGGGAGAGAGGCCCCTGGTGAAGGGTTAGGGAACTAAGGAGAAGGTAACTCCAACACTCCAGAACAAGGAAGAAAAGAGATTTCAAGATGGCTGTCCGACATTCTGTTATTTCCCTACCGGGCACTATTAATCTATCAGTAATCTATTGGTCATATTTACATCTGTTGTTTACCAATAGTGAATAAACTGTATGAAAGTTCAAATTGGGTATATTCTTATTTTCACAAATAAACACACCTGCGACCAACATAGCCGCCTTTTTTTCTTTCTTTTTTCTTTCTTTTTTCTTTCTTTTTTCTTTCTTTTTTCTTTCTTTTTTCTTTCTTTTTTTTTTTTTTTTTCTTTCTTTTTTCTTTCTTTTTTTTTTTTTTTTTTTTTTTTTTTTTTTTTTTTTTTTTTTTTTTTCTTTTTTTTTTTTTTTTTTTTTTTTTTTTTTTTTTTTTTTTTTTTTTTTTTTTTTTTTTTTTTTTTTTTTTTTTTTTTTTTTTTTTTTTTTTTTTTTTTTTTTTTTTTTTTTTTTTTTTTTTTTTTTTTTTTTTTTTTTTTTTTTTTTTTTTTTTTTTTTTTTTTTTTTTTTTTTTTTTTTTTTTTTTTTTTTTTTTTTTTTTTTTTTTTTTTTTTCTTTTAAATATGTTGGTCCACCTTTTTATTGATGGTATGTATGTGTAGCGGAAGTGAAAGGTAGGATGGACTACCGGCGACCTTCGATGAGGCTGAGCGTACCCGCGAAAATATGTTTGCGGCGGTGAGCTGAGCGGTGCTTAGAATTTGTTTATACAAGTGATTCGTGTCGTGCATAGCGAGATTACCGATGTTTCTGGGCCCAATATAAACATGGATTTTCTGTTTCGTCATTCCGGGAATTGAAAGCGTTACTAGCGTACGGAATATTATGATTCTGATTTGCTGTTTGTTCGTCCTCGCTTTCCGTGTCCCGGTTACGTTTCAGTTTGATTTGCGCCGTTCCTGTGTGGAATTCTTCGTCGCCTCTGCTATGGACGGGACACTGGTTTTTGTTTCTGCTTGGTTTTGGGTTTGGCTATGTTTCTGCTTGGTTTTGGGTTTGGCTATGTTTCTGCTTGGTTTTGGGTTTGGCTATGTTTCTACTTGGTTTTGGGTTTGGCATGGTTTGTCTCCAGTGCTGTTGTTCGTTCGTCCCACCTCATTTGTGTTCCGCCAGCAGAAAAAAAAAACTTTTAGTATACATAGATACTACTTGGTAGGGGTTGTTTTGTGTTTGGTTGTTAGCCCTATACTACTTGCCTCTAATGTTGGCATCATTGCATAACCTTTGCCTTGGGAATGCGTCAGATCAAAAGCTGTAAGATGAACAAAGCAATATTGTCCATCCATGCACAATGGACTTGGCTCGTCATTTTTATGCTGAGGCGAAAACTTTCATTACCGCGTTGCAGTACATGACTTTCTTTCTGGAACTAACCTACTTTGAAGAAGCTTTGCTCAGAGTTTTGGCAATCTGCTCACGTCGCAATAAAAATCGAGAGAAGTGTCATTGGGCATCACTCAAGCAGTATGACTCTCTTCTGATCTCAAGACAGTGGCTTATCTCTTTCCCGTTAGTGCTGGTCAGAGCGTCTCACCCCCCGCTCCTCTCTGGCTCATAAATGCGGGTGATGAAATGGATAGCGACTCTGGATGACAAATCTGAGAGTTCGATTTCCAGTCGAATTCGTTACAAATCGCTTACGCCCAAATACCCTTAAGAAAGGTATGAATCCATTTCATCCCCCACTTATGGGTTAAATAGTAGGGCTCATATCTGGAAAAAATCATTATTCTAAAACAAAAATTATTGATAAGCCCTAAGAAAAAACAAATCAATCAAAAATGGTGGTGAATCCAGGTCTCATCAGTAACCATCTTGGTGAATAAAGTGCCATTAGTGTGTGTGGCCCCAGATGCTCTTGGGCAACAATCACCCTTTGCGCTTTCAGTGTTATAATATTGAGGCCTATGTTATATAGCACTAAAATGGCTACCCTAAAAGCTTTCAAAGAATTTTGCAATAGTGATTCTTCTGTCATCTGTAACGAAAACCATCAAAAAGTGACAACTTGTATATATTCACAAAAGCAGATTGGTTTGCCACTATGGAGTCGGGCACTTCGGTCATTTTTTTTTTTTTTTTTTTTTTTTCTTTTTCCTTTTTCTTGAGGATTATCATTAAGATTACTGATTCTTAATATGCTTTCATCACGTACAACCTTTCAATAAAAACTTAGGGACAGCCTTGGAACGTTGGCTAAACTTTTTCATACCAAAAGTAAAAAAAAAATCTTTCTCACTCTCTTCTTTTCCTTCTGTCTCACTCTCTTCTTTTCCTTCTGTCTCACTCTCTTCTTTTCCTTCTGTCTCACTCTCTTCTTTTGTTTCTGTCTCACTCTCTTCTTTTGTTTCTGTCTCACTCTCTTCTTTTGTTTCTGTCTCACTCTCTTCTTTTGTTTCTGTCTCACTCTCTTCTTTTGTTTCTGTCTCACTCTCTTCTTTTGTTTCTGTCTCACTCTCTTCTTTTGTTTCTGTCTCACTCTCTTCTTTTGTTTCTGTCTCACTCTCTTCTTTTTGTTCTCTTCTTTTGTTTCTGTCTCACTCTCTTCTTTTGTTTCTGTCTCACTCTCTTCTTTTGTTTCTGTCTCACTCTCTTCTTTTGTTTCTGTCTCACTCTCTTCTTTTGTTTCTGTCTCACTCCTCTTTTTTGTTTCTGTCTCTCTCTTCTTTTGTTTCTGTCTCACTCTCTTCTTTTGTTTCTGTCTCACTCTCTTCTTCTTTTGTTTCTGTCTCACTCTCTTCTTTTGTTTTGTGTCTCACTCTCTTCTTTTGTTTCTGTCTCACTCTCTTCTTTTTGTTTTGTCTCACTCTCTTCTTTTGTTTCTGTCTCACTCTCTTTTTTTGTTTCTGTCTCACTCTCTTCTTTTTTTTGTTTCTGTCTCACTCTTCTTCTTCTTTTGTTTCTGTCTCTCTCTCTTCTTTTGTTTCTGTCTCACTCTCTTCTTTTGTTTCTGTCTCTCTCTTCTTTTGTTTCTCTTCTTCTTTTGTTTCTGTCTCACTCTCTTCTTTTGTTTCTGTCTCACTCTCTTCTTTTGTTTCTGTCTCACTCTCTTCTTTTGTTTCTGTCTCTCTCGACGTAACAATATAATAGAATATAAAATGTTCAGTTCCTCAAATAACTTTACATTATGAACATATATAAAAAAAGTCTCGCTCTCTTTTTATGCCTTGACCGACATCGTCCTCTCCATTTTAAACCGAGTTTCAAATGTAAATCCAGGTCCTCTGTCAATAGAAGAGGCGTGATAATTTTTTTTTTTTTTTTTTTGTCTCCAGACAGGAAGAAATTTAGTGGTGGGGTGAGGACGCAGACAACGCCCTTGCTCAGCTTTTTTTTTTTCATTTTTTATTGATTTTGTGCAAAGCATTCTTTATCAGTTTAAGGTAAGCGAAGTGGTACCACAAGAGAGGCATAAGGTACAACCCATGGACTTTGAGGAAGGCCATCCTGCGCAAGACCTCTTCACTGTAATCCGCATTTTATGATACTCTGACAGAGGTGTTAACTGAAAGTAGACCGACTCGGCCAAAAGTGACACATACTGTCCGGGAACTTCGAGATTTCTATATTTTCTGAAATAGCATATTTGTCTGTATCTTTTGGCATGGTTATTTACTTTTTATCGTATTAATGGAAGAAAAGGAAAACGAGAAGGACCAACCATCAATTGTAAAATGACAATGTATGGTCGTCATCAAGAATAAAATCCTAAGATACGAGCTACAAATTGGAAAACTCAAAATCAAGCAATGGTAAAAAAAAATCTTTTTTTAATAAAGGACAGAAAATGTGACGCCGAAATGCGATGGTGTCTCGGAATAACGAAAGATGCCTTCCAAAAGCTAAAACAGAACTAAGAAACTGGAAATTTTCGTTGACAATATTCCAATATGGCTGTGAATACTGGGGACTTCAGACAATAAATGTCGCTCTGTGAAGAGAATATCATTGACGGTGCATCTGCGCAACGATGAATCTTCAAGAAAACGAGGACAAAAAGGACAATTGTGATTAGAATCAGGAAGACTGTTGATATATCTGCTGCTTCTTAATGAGGAAAGAAGGCTTCAAGAACTTCATTTGTCTATTATTGGTCCTCTTCCTTTTTATATCTCATATATCATTGGTTCTCCTCCCTTCCCACCCCATATATCATTGGTTCTCCTCGGTTCTCCTCCATTCTCCTCCCTTCCCCCATATATCATTGGTTCTCCTCCCTTCCCCATATATCATTGGTTCTCCTCCTTCCCCCATATATCATTGGTTCTCCTCCCTTCCCCCCATATATCATTGGTTCTCCTCCCTTCCCCCCATATATCATTGGTTCCTCCTCCCTTCCCCCATATATCATTGGTTCTCCTCCTCCTTCACCCCCATATATCATTGGTTCTCCTCCTCCTTCACCCCCCCATATATCATTGGTTCTCCTCCTCCCTTCACCCCCCATATATCATTGGTTCTCCTCCTCCCTTCACCCCCATATATCATTGGTTCTCCTCCTCCCTTCACCCCCCATATATCATTGGTTCTCCTCCTCCCTTCCCCCCATATATCATTGGTTCTCCTCCTCCCTTCCCCCCCCATATATCATTGGTTCTCCTCCTCCCTTTCCCCCCCATATATCATTGGTTCTCCTCCTCCCTTCCCCCCCATATATCATTGGTTCTCCTCCTCCCTTCCCCCCATATATCATTGGTTCTCCTCCTCCCTTCCCCCCC